GTGGAGCCAACAGGTCAGCGCAGCAGCGTAGTAGTCTTGGACTGACCTTATCTGGCCCCACAGCTTTGCTTGTGTCTAGCGTGTTAAGGAGATGGAGAACTTCAGCTGCTGTATAACCACTTCAGTCAACCTAGACACAGTGCATAGGGCAAGATGTGGAGGCTGACGTTCAGGATCAGGGACCTGCATCTTGGCAGCAAAGTGGTTTGCCAGTAGATCAGCCTTCTCCTGATTTCTGGTTGCCACAGTACCATCTTCTCTGTTTAGAGGCGGGATTGTGTCCTCAGATGAGTATCCCTGTCGATCCTTCACCAGGGACCACCAGACTTCGGATCCAACCCTTCCAGATGCAAGTTTTTTCGAGTTTATGATTCCCATGTGGGTATATATATTCCCATCTCCTGCACCTCTTTCATTATACGACCAGATCGTCTATCAATGTTTTTGTTATGAGACGAAGGATGCATTTTAAATCTCCTCCAGGCCATCATTTTGGCCTCGGATGCCATCCAGCAGAGATATCCACACGAAGGCTGAGAAGTAGGCACTGTCCCATGATGCCCGTGCCCAGACGTCTAATATACGACTGGTTAAGGCGTTTGCATGGCTGTTCACGTCCTTATGGAGCAAGGCATTACAATCAATTTCTTGGTGATCTGAGTGGAGGGCAGCTCCCCCTGTCCCAGTGCCAGATTGTTCTCCACCTCGATCTGTCGGGATATACAGTGTAGTAAAGACCGCCAATCTTAGCAAAGTTCCCCAGGAGTCCTGTCATCTAGAAATGTTTCCAGCACAGTAACTACGTCAGGACGATGAGTCTTCAAGTCTTTGAAGTTGTCTGTGAAATCACCAACATTGGTGATGAAGCCATAATGCTAATGAATTGACTAAAGTACAATTACGTCTGAGATCAGTCTTTTCATACATGCAATCCCACCCAATATTACTATGGAGTATACATACACATGTATGGTTTCCATCTCAGAAATGGACTGAGCTGCATATCTAGATTTAAATTAAGTTGATATCTCCTCAAGTATTCGCTTAGTATCTTGGGTATTTTTCCCCTCATAATCTTGGCTATTTGTAGGCAGTTCCCCCAACACACACCTCCGCTGCTCCCTTAGGCACTAAACTAATGTCAACTTTTGTGATAGGTTTTGCTTTCGAATTGTGTTCATATCATGAGCCCAATCATGACCATCACTTGTGTGAGAATAGACATTATCCTTGCCACAGTAAGGGCGCACGGCCAGTGGGTCTAGGCTGGGCGATGTTAGACACGATGTCCCTTGAAGATTACTATACACAAACTGCTCACTGGTAGTTAACAGCATCACTGTTTACTAACTGTGATTAAGCAGCAGTGTAGATGCCTGTGATAGTACTGCCACACCTCACTGGTCTATTCTCACACAACCCTGAGGAGCCGGTCGGCCGGTGTATGGTCATGGTGTATGGTCATGGTGTATGGTCATGGTGTATGGTCATGGGTATGGTATGGTCATGGTGTATGGTCATGGTGTATGGTCAGGGTGTATGGTCATGGTGTATGGTCATGGTGTATGGTCATGGTGTATGGTCAGGGTGTATGGTCATGGTGTATGGTCATGGTGTATGGTCATGGTGTATGGTCATGGTGTATGGTCATGGTGTATGGTCATGGTGTATGGTCATGGTGTATGGTCATGGTGTATGGTCATGGTGTACAGTCATGGTGTATGGTCATGGTGTATGGTCATGGTGTATGGTCATGGTGTATGGTCGTGGTGTATGGTCGTGGTGTATGGTCATGGTGTATGGTCATGGTGTATGGTCATGGTGTATGGTCATGGTGTATGGTCAGGGTGTATGGTCATGGTGTATGGTCATGGTGTATGGTCATGGTGTATGGTCATGGTGTATGGTCGTGGTGTATGGTCATGGTGTATGGTCATGGTGTATGGTCATGGTGTATGGTCATGGTGTATGGTCATGGTGTATGGTCATGGTGTATGGTCATGGTGTATGGTCGTGGTGTATGGTCATGGTGTATGGTCATGGTGTATGGTCATGGTGTATGGTCATGGTGTATGGTCATGGTGTATGGTCGTGGTGTATGGTCGTGGTGTATGGTCATGGTGTATGGTCATGGTGTATGGTCATAGTGTATGGTCATGGTGTATGGTCATGGTGTATGGTCATGGTGTATGGTCATGGTGTATGGTCGTGGTGTATGGTCGTGGTGTATGGTCATGGTGTATGGTCAGGGTGTATGGTCATGGTGTATGGTCATGGTGTATGGTCATGGTGTATGGTCATGGTGTATGGTCATGGTGTACGGTCATGGTGTATGGTCATGGTGTACAGTCAGGGTGTATGGTCATGGTGTATGGTCATGGTGTATGGTCATGGTGTATGGTCATGGTGTATGGTCATGGTGTACAGTCAGGGTGTATGGTCATGGTGTATGGTCATGGTGTATGGTCAGGGTGTATGGTCATGGTGTATGGTCATGGTGTATGGTCATGGTGTATGGTCATGGTGTATGGTCATGGTGTATGGTCATGGTGTATGGTCATGGTGTACGGTGATGGTG